AATAGAAAATTGGAGAGTTTGGGCTGCAGCTCTATCAAAATAGTTATGCCTCACCTCAAAACTTACTTAAAATTGCAGTGTTCCAACATTGAAAACCTTCAAATAGATCATCTCAGTTTTGACTATTATGGTTGTGAAAAAAAGAAAAGAAAAGTATTTGAAGTGCTAAAACTAGTGTACATTATTGTAACACATTATTTAGACTATCAAAAAATAAGTGTTTATGGATCCACAATATTTGAACCGATTTTGGTGCCTCAAATTTTATAGTCGGTATTGAAAAGTGTTTTTAGAGCCATCATGAGGATTTACTATGGCCAAAGTGCTTTACAAACAAGGATTTAAGGTGTAGCTTTACTTGTATTAATCATGCCTAGGCCTTATGTAGTTGTAGTAAACGTCTCAGATTGAATTAGGGCCGATCCAAGAGACACAATTGCATATCGTATTTTAATTTTAATTTTTTTTTATAAGTCTAAATCACTTGAAATTTTAAACTTATATTTTTAAAAATAGGAAAATCTAATAAAAATATCAAAATAATAATTTACAAAAATTAAGATATTCTATTTAGGGGTATTTTAGTCAATTTAGTTTTTATGAATAAATTTTTAATATTTTTATTAAGTTCGCCTCGATGAAAAAAGAGTGGACACCTCAAATTTCATATAATTTGGATTTGTAGAAAAAAATTTAAAATGCAAATATGCTCTATACTCTTAAAAAGTAGGAATATGAAATATAAGAGTGTTTTCCCAATTTTAAAATAAAAAAAAAATTTCCTTGGGGCCGATGGAATAAATCAGGCATCTTATGAATCAACACTTAGCTACCTTCCTCCATTAGCTTCTCTCTAGCAAATTATCCAACAACTCTACTTAGCATGTGGGTTATTGGCCTATGGCCTATAAGATGATATGTCTCTCTCACTGTTTGTTTCAATCAAGTCTTAGGAATATTGATGCACTCATATTCTCATCTCTTTTGAAAATTCAGAACCTTGACTGAGAAAGCAAAGATGAATGCAAAGAGAACTGTAAACCCAATAGTCATAGCTGCAACCACCCCCAGGAAGTTGTGATCGAATCCGTAACAGTCATTCACGAAATCGGCAACCGTTTGGTTCTTAAATGAGGCACCTGCATCTTCAAAGGTGGTATGTACATCTCCAAATTGAGAAGCAACCAGGCCATACAGGGTCCATGCAACTGGGCATGCCCATGCATACCATCTCCACCACGCAGGCAAACTCTGTAGCCAATAGGACAGATAGGATTAATCAGAGAGAGATAGGCAACTTTTTGTCAAATTCAGGGTAAATATTGGAGGGTGGAAATTAGGAATGACTGGTTTTTTGCAAGGTTCTTTAACTCACTTCGGCCCTCAGGCGAGGCTTTGGCCCGAGCTGATAGAAGATGAAACAAGTATATAAAATACGGACTACTGAAAAATTGATCTATACCTGAAATATTTTAGAAAAAAAAAAAAGTACAAAAATAACTTGACCAAGTCCGAGTCCGAGTTGCTGAACACTGGTTTTTAGTGATTAAGTTTTATAATTGCAGTGGAGAGAGAGGGGGAGGGAGGTGGGGATCATTTTTTGGTCAAACTGGGAGTTTGGATTGGATGGTTTTTATTGATTTAAGTTTTATTATTGCATTTGCAAGATACACTGGGAAAGGGAGAGAGGAGCTTGAAACGATTATTTCTGAATTTTTTCAATGTTTCAACCTATTAAATGATTATTTAAATAATCCATTTTCTATAATTTTTTCCATCGTTCCTACACTTTTCATGCCTTTCATAAGTTTTCTACTATTTTTATTTTTAACAATTTTTAAAATTTCTTTTACAATTTTTAAGCCCTTCAGGGTCAGACAAGTCCATTCCGACTCATACCTACGTTACTCAGAGAGAAACATACCGCTCTAGGAATGAAGAATCCAGAGAAGAGGTTCCACGTTCCATTGAAGGCTCCGAACACAACGGACGCAATGTTATTATCGGGAGTCATGGCAATAGTCATCATGCCGAAGTATGTGAAGTACATAAAGAACATGTAACATGTACGAGAAGAACTTGGCAGTTGTCCATTCAAATGCTATCAGTCCATACACTGTCACCCCATAGAGTAGTGCTTGAACCAATATATATGGAATCTCTATAATAATCTGCATTTAAATTAACATATTGTGAAAAAGTAAGTGTATTGCACCATAAGTTACTCGTAACAGTGTTTTAAAACTCAGCAGAGTCAACTTGGACTCGGCCTCAGCAAGGTGCTGATGTGAGTTTGTATGCAGAAGATTGGGATTTTATAGAAATTATGTAGTTTCTGTAAAAATTAATATTACTACATCATTAATAGGTTGTAAAAATGTATTTATATATAATTTGTATTATTTAACATGATTTATGAATTTGTATTATTATAAGTTCTATTTTCCTAATTTTTCCCTTGTTTGAATTTTTCTGAATTCTTTCAAGCTATCAAATTCTTCCATATTCCATCTTTTATGAAGTTTTCTTCCATCTTTTATGTACTTTTAAAGCCTCTTATAGCTTCTTTTTCTTATTACCCACTTAGCCCAAAATACTACCCATCTTTCTGATTTCCAATTTCTTAAGTCTGTCTAGGCACAAGAAATTCATAATCCAGACACTCATCACCTTCTGTTATTAACATTTGATGAAATTGATACACAACTAATTTCTCCTATATCTTCTCCAGGCATTTAGAACCATCTATATTGTAAACCTTTATTTATGATTAATATGGAGGCAGAGGCCCTATCCTCAGTTACCTAAAAAGCATAGAAAGGCTCGTAATAGCTTATATTCAGACCAAAGACCCAAATCATTAGTATTACTAAACATCTTCAATGGAATTAGGATTCTTGGTAATAACTGGTGAAATTTCATATTTTCCCATTTAAAATTTCTCTAGTAGCTATTTAGTGTAAATGAGACCAAAGTTACTACGGATGACTCTCTTACCTTCCACCATTTGGGTCGAAGCCCACATATACCCCATAAGACAGGTAGCTTTGAAATGGTCATTGGTAGCTCAGCAAACTCATTGAACAAGAGCGTAAAAAGACTATGAAACAAGGCTCCTAGATAGAGCCCTCCATCTTGAACTGTATTTCGGTGCATTTTAGTGCGCACGAACACTGACATCATGATGAAAGCCATAATTGCAAGCCGCCAAAAATAATGCAAATATACTTTTAAAATATGAACTACTAGTTGCTTACTGATCATTATTGGGAGGGAAGTGTCACATGACACCTTCAAATTTTTGGTTTCAAGATGAAAATCTTTGAAAAATATCTAGAGAAAATAAAGATAATGGGGAAGCAACTAGTATTAGGAAAAATGGAAGGCAAAAGAAATGCTAGCTTTTAGTACACCTTTTTAAAGTTATAGACAGCATTTTGTTAAGTTCATGCGCTTTAAAAACTTAATTTTTACATTGAAGGATATGCCACTTGTAAATCCCTATTTCTCAATGATTTCCCTCGATCGAGATAATTGGCTGAATCCCGTGAATCCCTTTCATATTAGTTCATCAATATCTTCTTATAAAGAAAGTCAATTCCAATTCTTAAATAATCCACAACATTTATAGTTCTACTTTAACTAAATTTTCCCTTTTATGCAGAAAAGAGACATACCAATAATTATGGTCTTACATATGGATGATTCCTCAATATCCTGTTCATTTGCAACAACATATTTTTTTTGTGCATTAACAAGGAAAAAAGCATGAGAAAGGGAAAATTGCATGGAAAAGTTTGAAAAAACTCAAGATACTTGGGAAATTTTACTTTCGTTTTTTGATATTCTTGGGAGATGTTTTAAAAATTATATTTGAACAGTGGTGGATCTTCATTATATTTTTCATTGGATTTTCAGGTGGTGGACCGAAAAAATTGCCTAAAAGACCGGGGGAGATTGTCCAATAACTGTTAAAGTTACGTACTTGCACAGTTTTGAAGATATGATAAAATGAGTTCCTCTTCATCAATAAGAGTTCCCTCAAGAAGCACACTTTCAAAAGCTCCATCTAATTTACACCATATCGGGAAGTTGTAAGGGCAGCAGGGTGACTCTTACTCTTGTCAAATGGGATGGCTAATTCATTACATATTTTTATTCCTACATGAAACGATTGGGCAGCTTCTGCAAATTCCTTGACTGGAACAAATCTATAAGGCTCATCTTTGTGAAACCAATACTTCCCTTGATCTTTCATTGATGTAACCTGGAAATTCATAAGCATATCCACTTAGACTTTGTCATATAATGAAGTGAGGCTTGTAGGAGAATGAAGGTTACCATGTGTTTCTACGGAAAACGTTCAAACATGAACAAACCAGATAATCACAGAGCCTCTCCGGTTTTAGTTATTTAAACTAGAAGCTTAAAATCATAATCCTTTGGATCTTGATATTTCATGTACAAAGGGTGTGCTTAAGCTTCTCAAAATCTTCTAAATACACATTTGCTTATGTTTGACATTCAGCAACTTTTTATGTATTTGAAAATCCATGGAACCGACAACCTCTGTATTCAGTCACGTCCTTTGAATGAGGTCAACCACATCTTTATTTTTCTACCAGCTCACCTCTAATCTGAAAGGCTTGGCCCTCTTTTGGGGCACCCCTAATTAAGTAAATGAGGAAGGTGGTCAGAGGATAGCTGTACCAAAGATTTCACATAAACAAGTGGGAAGGATTCTACCTATTCTTCAGGAATTAAGAATCTGTTTAACTTGGACATAGCAATGTTACCTACACTATTATTGGACCAAAAAAACTTAGACCTAATAATAGGAAGGTCCAAAAAAGCATTATTTTCTATAAACCTGTTAAACCTTCTCATAAAATAATTTAATGGATAGCATGTTAAACAATCATCAGCCCAACTAATAAGATTAAAATCTCCCGCAATCACTATAGAATAAGGCACAGAATGGATGGCATCATGCATGTCACTAATAAAACCAACTTTTAAAGCAGAAACAATAGGCCCATATACATTCATGAAACCCCAACAAAAACCCAAAATAGGACCCCTGAAACCCAAAAGTAAACAGTTATCTTTGACCACATACTCAAAATTATTAACAACCAAAGGATCCATACCCCACTAGAATTTCCAATAGCGTCAATTTTATAAAAACATACCACCCCTGAGCACCAAACTTCCCTAACACTCGAAAGAATAGGGCTAGGAAGTTTGGTCTCCTGTAAAGCCAAAATACCTGGTTTATACTTTGAAACTAAAAACAAAATGTCCCTCTTTTTCCTGGGATCACTTAATCACCTAACATTCCTAGACATGATATTCATAAAAAAAGAGGCAAGGGAAAAGAAGAAGAACATGGTCCAAAAAGATCACACTCAAAGAAAGCATCTTCAAGCATCATAGACTCATAATGCTCTTCATCAGCCGAATCAATGTCCACCATCACAAGGTCGCGGAAAGCAAGTGAAGTAGCCATATAGCCTCCTTTGGGAACATCGCGTTCCTCCAATCTTGCTGAGGAACGCACTCCTCTCTGAAATACCTTCTTCTTCGTAGAAACATGCGCTTTTCCTGTCGGAGTACGAGCCTCGACCATCTCTGAATCCCCAACAGCCACCTACTGCTTTTCCTTAACCTCCACCAGAGCTTTGGTTTTACGACGCTTCCTGATTTCGTGTATCACCACAGCAAGAGGGGCATCTTCCATGCCCATTTCCATCATCATTTTCTCCACTAGAGGTGAATCATCCATAGGTCCTTGAATAGATAGAGAGGCCTCGATTGCAGGAAGATGATCAACGCCCAATAGCCTAGCATCAAGGGAGACCACCACTTGCATCTCAGGCACAACCATCTCCAATGGCTCCGTCATTGTACCTACATTCTCCAAAAGTAACTAAGGCTCCTCCGGCCTAGCATCAAGGGAGACCACCACTTGCATCCCAAGCGCAGCCATCTCCAATGCCTCCGTCACTGTATCTACATTCTTCAGAAGTAACTTGGGTTCCTTTGGCTCCACAACCACGATAGCCAAGGGATTAATCAGAAGAGGGTCGAAACGTAAGCGACTTTTCTTGGCTGCGGCTAGGCGAAACAGTAAGGGATGCATTTTGGAGGTGAAAAAGCTTAAAATTAGTACAAAACACCAAGCGTAGCCAACAACTTTTTGATGGGTAAAGAGATACACAAGTGACACCATCGAAGAGGAAGGAGAGACCAAGAAAGAGCTTCCCCTTTTTGAATCACCAGATTTTCCAAATACAGGTGAATCATGAAGGATAAAAGCAGCTGCCACCTGTACAAGAATATCTTCCCCACGCAGATTCAGCTGACAGGGGAGGCTTTCCCCTCCCAATGAAATCTCGGGACAGCAACCCGTCGCCTTGAGGGAATTAATATTTGGAGAAAGAGGCGGTCTAGCGCGATCACCAACCCCCAAAGTCGAGAAGCCACCAAATTGAATCCGAGAAAAGTCGTTCAAAATCCAATCCTTGGGGATTTCCATAACATCTTTCAAACCATCTATATTCTTGGGAAACTGCATACCACCATGATCTCCCTTAATTAAATGTTGGGACTTACGTGTATTTTATATTTTAATCATGCCTTAAATATACTTTTTATATTTTATTAGATTATTTTTTTAATTTTTTAGTTTTTTAACACTTTTTTGTTTGCCATGGACATGTCCAGTTAGGCCGGTAGTGCAGGGCAATTTACCTGTTAGGCCAGTTGAACTGTTTCAAGCTTCATATCCGGTTAACCATTCCGGTTCGATTTTTTCTATACTGGGCAAGAGACAAAGTGTCTTTGGTCATTACTAATCAAGTTTTTTTTTTTTTTTATGGGAATAAAGCCTGAAACCTTATCCACCCCTAAGTCCCTAACCACTAATGCCCCTACCCCATTCCCTAAGACAAATAAATCTTTGCTAGGTAGTTTTTTATCCAAGTTGAGGTGGAATTTTTGTTGGAAAAAGTGTATATAGAGCTCTGTTATAACCAATGTTGTCATATTCACTTCTGAATCTTTTTGGTTTAGTGAAAAAAATAAGCAACTTGGTGTTTCAAACGATTCGGAAGAAGACTTCAAACTTCTTCTTTTAAAATTTAAGTATAAATAAAATAGATATTTATATGTAAAATACATACAAATAATAAAAAAATTTTAAAAAAAACTACAATTATATAGCTATTTCTTTGCTGGCCGAAGCAGATCCGAAGCATACCTGAAACAAACCCGAAGTGGCTCGAATTTGACCAAAGCAGCCCGAAGCAGTCCGAAATTGTCCAAAGCAGCAGCACTAAGCTTCACTTCTCTTCGATTTATGCCTAAAATCCGAAAGCTTCGGCCTCTTGGGCCGAAGCGAAGCCAATTTGATAAATTGGTTTTAACTATGGTTGGTATAAGGACTTGTTCTCGGTCCATAAAACCTTGTTCACTAGGACTGGCAGGTCCACCATTGTGGCTTGACTGCAACTTGGGCATAAGATTCCCATCGTTGTCGGCTTGACTTTCAATTGGGCATCAAAGTCCCAAATTGGGAGGAGACAAGGGGAAATGACAGTCAAATCGCTGGGAGAGAGCTGTTTTGCTTAGAAGAGTACACTCAGCACTATACAAAAGCAGGTTCTCCCCCACTGACCATTGCTCAAGTGCCTTCAATCAATGGAGGAAACCAGAGGAAAGGCCATACGATGCAAAGGTATCGAATTAAATCAATCTCTCTCTCTCTCTCGCTATATATATATATGTATATATATATATATATATATATATATATAAGAGCTGCATGCGTTTCTGATTGAGATTGGGCTTTACAGCTGCGGTTTGCTGGAGCCTGGAGGAGGATCCAGTGATAGAAGAGATAGAAGTGGCTCCCCCTAAGCCATGGGAAGTCCGCATCAAAATACTGTGCACCTCCCCATGTCACACGGACCTCACTTTCTGGAAGCTCAAGGTACTTATCCAAGTCTCAGCTTTTTTTTTTTTTAACATTAATCCCCATCCTCAGCTACCATCAACCATTGTTTGACAAATCGGTCCGAGTTCCGAGTACTCGGTCTCGCCCGAGTTTCTCTGAGTTGGGTGTCCACTCGGGGATTTAAAAAAATAAAATAAAATATTATAGAAATAAGAAATTTATTTGTGATGTCTCTTTTTTTTTTATACATATATTCTATTATTTTGAAAAAATTGGAAAAGTGTTTTGGCCATGAATGCTTATTTTTTACATTTTTCCTATTTTTGTATTTTGCATTTTTCCCATTTTTAGATTATTTTGGACAAACCTATGGTCACAAATTTATTTTTCAAAATGTATTTTTTTACTACTTTTTAATCTTATTTTGATGGGTTTTTCTCATGGTTACCGGGAGCAAGAGCAGGAATGGCACCGGTTCCAGGAGTGAAAGCGTCAGATCGATGGCTGCTCAAAGCTCTGGAGCTCGGGGAGCGAGTTCCAGTGAGGGTAAAAATAGTAAATCTAGATCCCCTATGAACAAGGAGCACGTTCCCAATACATCATGATCTAGATCCTTATTTAATGGGTACGTATTCCATGTAAAATGGGATCGAAGTCTCATATTCATTACGATCGCGCTCCCATTAACAACAGGATCACAACCCTATCTAAGAATGACCGCGTTCCTATGTGGAAATGATTGAACTCCATTCAAAGAAGGATCGTGTTTCATGCATGATTAGTCCGTGTTCCTATCGCAAAACTCCACTTGTATAAAAATTTGGCTTAAAGTATAACTATTTTATTTTAAAAGTTAATTATATTTAAAAAGTTTCTTTTAGGAAGTTTCGGGAACATAGGGATGGAGTTTCGGGAATATAGGGATCGCGCCTCTAAAATTCTGAGAGCGGGGATCCAATTTATTTATGAAGAAGATCTACAATTTTAAAGAACACGTTCCATACAACAGTGGGATCGATATCCTTTGTGCTTGGGATTGAGAATCCTATAAATAGGATCCAGCTCCCGAAAAATTTAAAATGAGTTCTGATTAAGATCCTGGTCATGGAATGCCGGAACTAGGTTCCAGAGCAGGGGCGCCACCCTGGTGCTCCCGGTATTTATGGTTTTGCTTCATCACTTTTTAAACATACATTTCCTATTTTTTAATTTTTTTGTAACTTTTTTTTAACATTTTTTTGCTGCTACATACTCAGCCTGAGTAACTGGCACTCGGTCCCAGTGCTCGGATTGGGCATGGCCCGAATACTCGGCCCTAGTAGTGGTTTCAAATACTGCCATCGGCCACTAATCTCTCTTTCTCTCTCACAGGAACCACCCCTACCATTTCCAAGGATATTGGGTCACGAGGCATCGGGGTAAATCTCTCCCACAATAAAAAGACTGATATGAGCACATAAATGGATTCATTTGATTGAATACAAAAGAAAACAGTCCTTTGATGGCTAGAACCTGTTGTTTCTGTAGGATTGTGGAGAGTGTAGGCGAGGAGGTCAAAGAAGTACAGGAAGGGGATCTCGTGGTGCCGGTATGCGTTCCACAGTGCGACGAATGTCCCGATTGCCGGTCCGACAGGAGCAATATTTGCAGCAACATTCAATTTCAATTCGCCGGTGACATGGTTAGGGATGGTACATCAAGATTCACCATTGCCCAAACCAGACAAGTTGTTTACCACAGCATGGGGGTCTCGAGCTTCTCTCAGTATACAGTGGTGGATGTTGCAAATGTGGTGAAGGTTCACCCAAGCATCCCACCAGAGATCGCCTGCCTGCTCAGCTGTGGAATCTCTACAGGTTTAGAGTTTTTCTTTTTTTATTCTTTTTTTTTTGGGTGGAGAGGAAAGGAGTAAACTGTGATAATTGTGGTGTTTTTTTTGGAAAAAGGAGTAAAATATGATAATGGTGGCGATTTTTTGTTTTGGAAAAGGAGTAAAATCTGATAATTGTAGTGATGTTAAAAGGCCTTGCCGGGCCTATTGCCAACCGAATAATAATTGGGTTGGGTCGGCGTTATCTAGGATCCGACCCAACAAGATAAGGTCTAGGATGGTTTCAAACCAAGGCCCAATCCAGGTTGGATTTAGGTCATTTGGACCCAAAACCAACCCACTGGGTCAAATATTTAAGTTTAGTCCCAGACTCGTGTGGAATCTACTTGTGTCGAATCCGCCACCCCTAGTTACGAGTCATATTATATTTGAAAAAAGTTACCTTAAAACTCATCAAAATTACGATTTAGGTTTCAGAAAACCTTTAAATCAATCATCTCAACCTTGATCATTATGGTTGTAAAAAAAAAAAAATTAAGATTTCAAGTCTTAAAAATAATGTATTTTGTAAAACATTATCTAGACCGTTTATTTTCAAATGTTGATAAATATGCAATATCTATTCTATTTGTTGAGCTACATATCTCATATGGTAGTAGAAAGCGTTTCGAGGAGGTCTGACCTTATTTATTTTTTTAAATAAGGTCTAGGCTTTATAGGAACTCCATCCATTATATTTTCCCATTTGCTTTTCACCTATGACTTTGTTCAAGTTAAAATCAAGGAATTTAACTTCTATACTTGGGTTTGTGAAGGAGTGGGAGCTGCTTGGAAAGTGGCAAATGTGGAAGCTGGGTCAACTGTAGCCATCTTTGGTTTGGGAACCGTAGGGCTTGCGGTAAGTACAAAGCAGGTCTTTTTTTAAGTTTTGTAAATATAAAAATGCTTTTGATATTTTTGAGCGCATATCTTTCTAATTTTTATAATTATAAAAAAGTTGAAAAAAAGTTTTGATGACGATGATGATAGAAATCGGGAGTCATATTAAGTATCTATATCTATTTGGGATTATATACAATGAGATTATTTACCTTTTATATAAAAAAGTTATAATTACTTATCATCTTTCGATGTGAAATCTAACAGCTTAAGTGTGTCACAAAGTTCGAAAAGATTTCTTTTGAACATTGAGCATAAGTATACCCATGTCGCAAAAATAAAAATAAAAACCTAATTTTATAAAAATTATAGAAGAGAGAATATACACTTTTTGTAGTAGAGAGAGGAAGATCTAAACTGCATGGAATAACTGTGTGGTGGAGAGAGACAGGACCTTATCTAGAAAAAGACTTCCTAAAGATAGTGGGGAGAGACGTAGAGAGAGATATAAGAACCCCTTACTTTAATTTGGAGAGAGCGAAGATGAAAACTAATTGATTGTAGAGAGAGGTAGGGAGATATAAATTAAAGAGAAATTATGGTAGGGGAGAGAGAGAGAGAGAGAGGGGGAGATATGGAGAGAGTTAGGACCTTATCTAGAAAAAGACCTAAAAATAATACGGGTAAGAGAGATAGGAACCCTTTTAATTTGTAGAGAGAGAAGATAAAAACTAAATAGCAAGAGAAACTATGCATAGGGGAGAGAGAGGACCTTATCCAAAGAGATAGACTACCTAAAACTAATGTATGGAGAGAGATGGGTAGAGAGAGAAATATGTGACCAGAGTGAAGAAAATAGAAACTTATCTAGAGATAGATTTCCTAAGAGAGAGAGACACGGTCCTAAAGATAATATTTTTTATTGCCGAAAGAAAGGGACATTAAAACTAGATAGGGAAATTATACATATTATAGAGAGAGATAGGGAGACATGGAGAGAGATAGGCATGATAAGGCACCATGACCCATCCATCCTATCTCTTTCCATATTTTGTCTTGTTATAATCAATTTTAAATTTTCTTATATTTACTCTATGTCTAAACTTTCTCTAATTCAACAGTCAACTTACTTTCTTCCCATAATCTCGTGAGCAGGCTTTTGTTTAGATATACAAAGCTATAGGGGAGATATTTAAGAAATAACTTCCTTAAAAAGATAGTAGATGGTGTTTATTTATAAAAACAAGGTTGAAAAAGTGACAAGATAGTGGTGAAAGTATTTTGGATTGATCCCTATTAGAAGGAAAAAGAGAAAGTAGGAGATATCAATATTAATCTAGGGAGACATTGAATTGGTTCTCTTTTAGAGAAGGATTGAGCTCATAATTGAAAGAGTGAAGGGCATGAGAGATTTGAGTTCAAATGAGAGAGAAAGAAGGGTTCACATGAGGAAGGGTCACAAGCTAGAGAGATGAAACAAGCAAAGAAAAAAAAATCATATGAACTTCTTTTTAATAATTTCACGTACGTTTCTTAAATTTTGTTTGTATATGTTTTATAATAAATTTTATTTCTTCTTTTTTTTTGTCCGCATTAGTTGGGTCAGATTTGATCCAATCAAACACCGGGAATATCTACTTTTTTTTGTTTTACTTTAGGGTGTGGTTTCTATAAGGTTGCAACTTTAAATAATTTAATTAAGGCGCACTTTCAAATTTTATCATAACATGTAATTTTGGTGTAAATTTTTTTTAGGATTATCTAAAAATTTATTTTCATATCTAATTATAAAATTTTAAACTAAAAAAATAGTTAAAAGCAAGTAGATTTATAAACATATGAAAACTCGTGAAAATAGATGGTCTAGATAATGTGTTGCAGGATGCATTATTTTTGGGACTCATAATCTTTTATATATATATTCTGAATACAAAAAACTTATAATTGATTATCTAGACCTCGAGATGTATGGTTATGAAAAAAAAAAAAGATTTTCAAATCTTTAAATTATTGCATCTTGTAACATATTATTTAGACAGCACATTTTCAAAAAATTTAGGTGTTTATAGATCTACTGAACTTGCACCATTTTTTAAGCTTTACATTTAATAATTAGAAGTAAAAATAGATTATTAAGTCACAGTAAGAATTTTTTGCACCAAACTGCATCTTTCAACAAAATTTAGAATTATTCCTTACTTTAATGATTTAAGGTTGACACCTTATACAAACCGCACCCTTTAGATTGAGATGATTAAGAGCTCGTAGGTTTACATGTGAGAGAACCCAACAAGGTTGTTTCGGTTTAGCAATTAGACCAGGTGGGTCGCGTCTGAGTTAAAAAATATGGACCTGAAATGGGTCAGGTTGGGTTCCACTCCGTATTGAACCTAATCGGGTCAGACTTAACCTGCCCCAACCCGACTCATTATTTTCTATATAAATATATATTTTTTGTTATCAAATTATAATGCATTATCATATATATATTTTGATACCATGGCCGACCCTACCCTATGAGTTCAATCCGAGTTGATTGAACCGGCATCTGGCTGGGTTTAGGTCATGCTCGGGTCCAATTCTAGATTTGTCGGGGCAAGTCTGGATTGGCCTGACCGACACCCAACTCTACTTTTTTGAAATTTACATTTACATTCGTGGACCCAACAAAGCAATCTAACGTCGACGGACCATGTGTAAATACCAAAGAAGATGAGATCATTGTCGGCAAAGTTCGCCGGTCCAACTTGGAACCAGCCAGTCGAATCGCAGGGCATTGGCCTACCTGGTTTTGGCTGTTCCAAAGGAGTATTTTAAAAAATTTCAAAAATATATATAAAATTTCAAAAAATAAGAAATTTATTTATAATATGTTTTTTTAGTGGTCTTTATCATTTTGACAAAGATTGGAAAGTGTTTTTGTTTTGAATACTTATTTTTATATTTTCGTATTTGTTTTGTAAATTTTTTAAAATACGTTTAGGCACAAATCGTTTTTGATTAAATCTATATTTTTACGACTTTGCAACTTCATTTGAATGTGCTTTGTTTAATTATGCTTTAAATATACTTTATTTTTAAAGTAAACTGTTTTTTTTTTAAAAAATTTAGCACTTTTTAGACCGCTTGGGACCTGCTTGGTTAAACTGGGTGAACCAGTTCAGCAATTAGACCGGCACTTAATTGAGCTGGGTGAACCAGTTCAGCAATTAGACCGGCACTTAATTGTTTTCTTACTCCAGTTCGATTTGTCGGGATGAGATAATGGAATTGCGAGTAGCAGGGAGGCAGAGAGAATTGGATCTTTGGTGCCGTGCCATAATAGTTGCTTTGATAGTGTGGAACAAACGCTGAGATCCAAGGTAAAATCACCTAGAGAGAGACAGCAATGTAGGAAAAATCGAATCGGACGGTTAACCAGACATGGGCTGGAAGCGGCTAAACCGACGTAATCAGTAAATCGGTCGGTTCAACCAGCTTGACTGGGCAAGTCTCAGGCTGTCAAGAAAGTGTTAGAAAAACACAAAAAATGCAAACAAAATATTACAAATATATTTAAAGCATGATTAAACAAAGCACATCCAAATGAAGTTGAAAATTAATGAAAAAAGTCAATTTTAAATAATCGATTTATGTTTAGGAGTATTTTTAAAATTTTCAAAAAAGATAGAAAAATATAAAAATAGATATTAATAGCCAAAAAAATTTCCAATCTTTACCAAAATATGAAAAATATTAAAAAATACATTACAAATAAAATCCCTTATTTTTTTGGATTTTCTATATATATTTAAATAGCCGGCCTGTTCACCAAAACCGGCTGAATTCCGATTATTCGGGCGGTTAGAATTCTAACCACCTGATTTTTCCTACGTTGAAAGAGTGAATGAGCCGACGAAGAGATATCTGTGAATAAATTCCTTGATTAAATGAAATGAAACCAAGGTTTAGATAAAGGAAAAAAGTTTATATGAGGATGCTATTTTATAATGTAGAACTACGGATGCCCCTCAAGAATTCATCGGAAAAGGTAGTTTTAATGTTGAAAAACCCTTTGATTGATCATCTCGATATCGAGATGTATGACTATAAAAAATAAAAAGATTTCAAGTATCCGAAATAGTGCATTTTACAACATATTATCTACACCATCCATTTTCAAGATTTTCATATGTTTATAGATCTACTTGATTTTAACCATATTTTTAATTTTTCATTTTATAATTAGATATAAAAATAGATTTTAAGATAATCCTAAAAACATTTTATATCAAAATTATATACCATGATAAAATTTGAAGGTACACCTTACCTCTACACTTACGGATGGACCCTTATGCCAACTGCACCCTTAGATAAAAGTGTTGTGTACTACATGACTATTTATCTTTTGAATAAGGAGGTCATATATAATCCTAGCCATCAATGTCACTTCAGATTTTATTTTATTTATTTTTTATATTTTAGCTTTGAGCCTAATCAATGGCAAACTCTCGACCTTTTAATTTTTTTTTAACTTTGAGCTTAATCAATGATACACTCTCGACCTTTCAATTTCAAATCTTATAGCCATAAACAAAGTTAAGCGGTCTTATTGTATACGTTTCTTTATATAGAATTTGATTTTGGTATACGACCAAAATAACCTTATACAATTGTAATCGAAAACTCAAATATGATGGTTTTCTAGAAAAGCAGCCTGGAACGGTTTTGGATTAGGTAACTCGATCTGATCTGCCTTAAAAAAATTAAGATTATTATAAATGTTATTTTTTCGATTTTCAAGAAAATAGGGTAATGCATTACTGCTTTCATTATTTTACAAAAATATGTGAATAATAAAAAATCATTTCCTTTCTAAATATTTTGACAATTACATTCATATCACATTTAAATAGAATTTTCAAGATATTACTTTGTTTAAATTTAAAATTTTAATGTAATCCACACAATTACAAAGAAGAATTATTAATATTTAAGATTTTATGCATTCTATTTTAACAAATATAAGAATAACAATTTACAAGATGATCATTCTTAGAAAATTATTACACTTTTCCGTAATAAATATAACAATTACAATTTTACAAAATAGTGTTTTCAATAAAGAAACTAATACATTCTTTGGAATAGGTATTGCAATTAAAAAATAATTATTAATACAATGTAACCACATGCACGATGGTCTCCATTAATCCTTGGTGAGGTTGTTGCAGGTTGCTGAGGGAGCTAGAGTGCGAGGAGCTGCAAAGATTATTGGTGTGGATATCAACCCTGATAAATTCGAGCTCGGTAACGCTTCATAAACCTTTCTCAGATAATGTATGATCCGTAACATGTGATTTCAGCAGCTTTTTTTGAATAAAGTAAAAATAGCTATTTAAACAGATATACTTATATCTATATACTACATCATTAAGTCAGAATTAAAGAGTGGACACGTGTGGCGAAAATAAAAAAGGTCTTAATTCTATAGAAATTGTAGGACACATTCTTAGCTTTAAGAGAAGAGAGAGATAGAATAGGCATTTATTTTAAAATAACTAAATTTGAGAGCGAGAGAGAGTATAAGTATGTACAAGAGAGATCTTAACATTTTTCTATATCTCTACATTGTTTCCATATCTTAATTAGAGAGAGAGGTTGTTTGTATATCATAATTTGAGAAAGAAACAGAGAGAGTAAGCATAAAAGAGAGAGAAAATGAGCGATTTTTGGGAAGATTTTGAGAAAGAAAATGAGCGATTTTTGGGAAGATTTTGAGAAAGAGAGAGAGTATGCACAAGAGAGAGAAAATAATAGACCCATTTTTAACCTCCCTTTCATATCAGTTTTACATATCATAGCGGGTTGGGCCCATTAGCGACAACCATTATTCTATAGATGTAACGGCCGTTTTAAGCCCCCTTTTATATCAGTTTTACATATCATAACGGGTTGGACTCTACCTAGAGTCCCATTGACTCTTACCCCGTTATTTGGTGGCAGCATATAATTCGAAGATTAGAGGCATGGCAATAGCCTTCAAAATATCCGGACTAGAAAAATAACTAAACTATAAAAATGAAAGTAGGAAGGACTTTTATTTTTAAAGAACAATGTCGTTATTATCATCCAAGCCTTATCCCAACTAATCGGATAATATAATTCTATTAAAATTTTAAGCCGTCTTTTAAAGCATGCAAAAAAAAATCAACTATTTAACATTTTACCTATGTAGTTTAATTTAAATCAGTACGCACATCAACATGGCCATGAGTTGGAATCGTTGAGAAAAGGCAAATTGCTAAATTATTGAAAAGTTAGTTGTGTTTTGATAAAATTCCAATTTCTAGGACATGTATGAAAATTAGGGCTCATCTTCTTCTGAAGAGCATGTTTAACGCTAATATAACCTAAATCAATGGGGTGGATCGTCCCCACATCAGTGACCTAGTAAAACCCAAATTTATGTTGGATCACTGGATCGTCGATTAGCATTCGTCTGAAATGGTGATCCAAAAAAGATAAGAATAAAACAAAATAGGGGTTTATGAGGTGGGATTTATGAGGGAACCTAAAAATAATTGGATAAGCCTAAAACAAATATAGGAAAGAAAATACTGGTAAGGCTAACCAATTGTCCAACTCGTACCTTTTTTTCATTTTTTGTTCAAGTCTTCATTAAATGTTAATTGCTGCAAATTTGGGGTTGAGAAACAAGTAAAGAGTATTTTAATTCGATTACTAGCTTGATGGTGGGAATGCGATGAAAAGAAACATGTAAAAGATTTGAGAGATGCACTGCTCCTCTCCCTCTTGTAAACTAACAATCACTACTACTACTACTACTATGATTGATTTTGTGGATTTCATCCTCTTGGGCAAGACTCTTTTTAGGTGCCTTTCCAACCATTTTGAACAGATTTTTGTAATAAACTCCAAAGTCAATGTTTCATTTTTATTTATCATAAAACAGGGAAGCAGTTTGGGCTCACTGATTTCATCAATCCAAAGGAGTTGAATGACAAACCCCTAAATCAGGTCATTCTCTCAATTGTCACAACTGAAGCATGCCTTTTGTGGGCTATGAACTTATATTTCCTATATCATTTATGGTGTACAGGTTCTTAAAGAGATGACAAATGGAGGAGCAGATTACTGCTTCGAATGTGCTGGGATCGCCTCTCTCATTAAGGAAGCATTTTTAGGCAGTCGCACTGTAAGTTGTCACAACTTGTTTTTGTGGAATTACCGTTTGCAGTCGAAAAGGATATCATTAAAAGAATGTGATGAAAGGAAGTTCTGAATTTCATATCCAGGGATGGGGCCTCACCGTGATTTTGGGAGTGGGGCAAGGAGATTCGGTAAGCTTCAACTCCTTTGAGATCATCACCGGAAAAATGTTAACCGGATCACTATTGGGGGGAGTTAAACCGAAGACCGATATTCCCTTCTTCGGAGAGAAGTACCTTGAGAAGGTGATAAATGATTTTTCCTCTCTTTCTTTCTGTGCACACACACAGGACGCCGCTTAATGCAAAATATAAAGAGAAAAAAATTGCATCAGAACCTGCTTCACACATATATATATATATATATATGCTGTTCCAATGGGGACAGGCCATAAAAAAACAATTAGATACGGGTTGGACCGGCCATAAAAAAACAAGTGCTTGGGCCACAAAATGTGGCAGCCAGGCCAGGTTCTGACTAGCCCTCTTCAGCCCTGCATGGTCCTCGTTTCCTTGTTTTTCTTCTTTTCTAATTGTATTCAGCCATGTTCGGCCCCAATAGGGCCAGAGCCAGACCTGAGCCTTTGACTTTGTATGGGGTTTGGAAGAGGGGTTTCACTTTTTGTCATAAAGCCTAAGGCTTTTATAATTTATTTATTATATATAATAATTTTGGCTCAGATCAGAAATGAACCTAGTGGTTCAAAATAGAACCGACTAAGGTCCCAGTTTATGCAGGAAATTGCCATATTTTTTTGTCATATAATCTATTTTTATATTTTCCCTTTTTCAAAATTTTTCTAAAATGTCTTGCAACTATAAACTTATTTTTTTGTAAAGGAAAAAGTTATATAAAGTTGACACCTTAAAATGTAGAATTAAAGAGCACCTCTAATATCCCTCGAATAAGGTTGTTTTGATGTTGGAAAAATTTAATTGATCATCTTGAAATCGACATGTATAGATATGGAGAAAATAAAAGATTTCAATTTCTCAAAATAGTACATCTTGTAATACATTGTCTAGACCGTCTATTTTCAATATTTTCATGTATTTATAGATCTGATTTGAACTGATTGTGGAGTTTAAAATTGTATAGGTAGAAATAAGAATAGATGTTCACATTATCCTAAAAATTTTAAACACTAAAATTGCATCTCATGGTAAAGTTTGGAGGTACATCTTAATTTGATCGTTAAAGGTTGCAATCTTATGCAAACCACATCCTTTTCTAAATCCATATTTTTATACAATTTTTTTAGAATTTTTCAACTTTTTTGTATTTTCTATGGTTTCATGGAACTTTTATAATTTTTATTTTTGTTTAAACAATTCTATTGAAATCATTCTTTTATTTCTTTAAGCATTTTGAGTTTTCTACACTACTCAGCCGAATCCACTCAAGTTATTGGGCTCGGGCCAAGGCTAGGTCCAAGGCCCGAGCCTTGTTTAAAAACATTGTTTCCACTAATTAAAAATTTTCTTTTATTTGTCAATGGAATTGATTCTTGAAAGGGTGGGTTTTGGCAGGAACTCCGATTGGAAGGATTCATCACGCATGAGCTAAATTTCCAAGACATAAACAAGGCTTTAGATCTACTCTTCCAAGGGATTGGTCTCCGTTGCATTATCCGCATGGATGGATAAGTAGCAATGGATGGCAAAAAAATTAAAATTATTGTTTTCCGCAATGCACAATAACTGACTTAAGAACAGTTTTTCCTGTAACTGGAATGTCTTGGTGGTAGCATCATTTGAGCTTCAACTATTAAATGTTTTTTTTACTTTTAAGGAATTTCGCCCGTAATGAACATTTTTTTAAATAAAGGGAATTGGATAGGGTTCATGTCTCACCCGCAATTAACATTTTTTGAATAAAGGGAATTGGATGGGGCTCCCATGGAGCATGTATTGCTCTCCTACTTTGTACGAGTGAGGAAAAGAGGGTCGGACCGGGCTGGCCTTATGCTCACTCGGCCCCAGGGGATGGTGCTCGGACACTAGTCTTTTATGGTTGGATTTAATGAGAATATACCTTCGCAAAGATCTTTCACAAGATTCAATTTTTTTAATTTTTTTTAATCCGACAGTTACATATTTATAGAAGAAAAATCTCAAGAATTTAGCTTGATTGTCAAGAGATCCTAATTAATTTTAAATCTTTCGATTTTTCCACTCAAATCTTTGCAACAAAAAAGACACAAATATTCTAAGAAAACTAGAGAATTCAAATAAACTCTAAAAATCTAAATTTCAATCCTTTTAAAAATAATAAAACAAAACTAGAGAATTCAAATTAACTCTAAAACTCTAATTTTAGTCTCTTAAAAAAATAACAAAATAAAAAATTAGAAGCCCTAATTACCTCATTTCTATTATTTTTTATGCTTTGCTTATTTTCCCTTTTTCCCTCTTTCCTCTACATAGAAAATTATTTCATTGTAAAAGTTAAAGACAAAAAGGTTATATATATGGGATTGTCTACAAAGAGACCATTTATCTTTTGTACATAGAGGTCACATCATTTTAGTCCTTTAGATTTCAAAATGGGTTGTCATTAGAATGTCATTGAATAGATACAAAGTTCTAAAAAAAATTCTCGAATTTTGTGACTCATCCCAAACCATCCAATTTGACATCTAATGAGTGGGGATAATTGTAACCTCAATGTACAAAAGATAAAGGAAAAAGTTTATATAATATAGAACTATTGATGCATCTCAAAATTCCATCGGAAAAGGTTGTTTTACTGTTGAAAAACACTTTGATCGGTCATCTCCACATCGAGATGTATGACCATGAAAAATAAAAAGATTTTAAGTCTCAGAAATAGTGTATTTTACAACATATTATTTACACCGTCTATTTTCAAGATTTTCATATGTTTACAAATCTACTTGATTTTAACCATTTTAAAGTTTTAAAATTTTGTAATTAGATATAAAATTAAATTTTGAGATAATCTTGCAAATATTTTACATCAAAATTGTATACCACGATAAAATTTGAAGGTGCGCCTTACCTCTACATCTACATATGCGTTTGTATGCCAACTACATGTCATTTCATGTTATGGTTAAATTATAATATAATGAAAATGCTTATTAAAAACCACCTTTGTGGCATTTCTATGATACCAATTTTTTGTAATCGTACTCTCTTCATTATGATAATCAATTCCAAAAAAGAAAAAAGTTGAACTTGTACCCTATAAAATGTCAAAAAATGAGTCACTCTCCAGCAATAAATCTAGATGGGACATTTGATGGACATAGAGATCTAAGGCTTTAAGAACTAAAAATCAATATTTTTTTTATTTAGAATTGTTCATAAGATCATATATAGAAATTAGGATAAAAAAAGTGTGCCTTTTAAGGACTAGATTTAATCTTCCATCGAATGGTCAATTTACATTTATTGGATTAAAATAAATCATTTTTTATGATGCGCTTTCAATTTTTTATTTTTATTGTTCATCATAGTGAATTAAGTGTATGTTCAAAAATTGGAATCAAACGAGTGCTCCTAAAATGATTCTTGAATGTGTTTTCCATTATATACATAGAATACGTATCAAGATTGAACATAGACCGTGCTATTTATGAAGGGTGAGATTTAAGCGATAGAAAACTCAAATTTCGAATTTGTTTTTTTTAAAATAATCATCTAGCGTCCCTTTGGTTGTTCCCTAAATTTCAAACTGGGAAAACCTCCCAAGTAGCCTTGTCGACTGGGGGAGTAGAAGTACAATATTCTACCAAATGAGATAATTACACACACGTTAGTGATGCGGGCCAACTTAAGGGAATCACATGTAAAATAAAAAAATAAAGGAGTCGCCTCATAACTATCCGAGCTGACTTGAAAAACATAGGGTAATGGGCCAATTTTTGTTTAGAATCATGGGTGATGTGACCGAGCATGAAACCTATTTCATGTTAAAAGAAGTGGTAAAATAGAAAAATACGTAGATTCAAACATGTTTTGGTCATTTTCCCCAAATCATTCGATTTGAACAAATTAATCAATCTTTGATCCAAACCAAGTTTAATATCACTAAATTTCAAATTTTATGAGATTTTTATAGAAACCTTTTTTTTTTTTTGGGTGGGGGGAGAATTTCAACAATAGAAATCAAACTTAAGATGTAGCATCGCTAATATCAACTACTAATCGGGTCCAAGCCTGTTTCCAAAAGGAAACTCATGAAATATCAACCACAAAAAGATCCGCCCTTCTTTGATTTTCTCCCTCAAATCATAAAGAAAGAACTTAAAATTAGTTTCAAATTGTTCATTTTTTATCCCACTATCAAAGCCATATTCTGATTTATTTGATCAGAGCCCCCGGTGGAAGGAATCGAGAGTAGAAACTTCGGTGTTTTTTAACCCCAAATTAAAAAAAAAACATCGATTTTTCACTCTTTTCACCAAATTTGCTAGATTTTTGTCCCAGTTCCTGTCATGTCGATCTACAAAATCCCTCATAACATTTTTTAATCAAAATAAAAACTATGCAAATTCAGATTCGAAATGTATACATGGGATCCAAATATAAATTTGGGCCAAATTGGATCTAGAATATTCAGATCAGAAAAATATACATGGGATTTGGTTTGGGATCCGGACCCAATCAGATCCAAAATAATTATTTTATATATTCTCTTATATCTATAAATAATATATAACGGAAAATACTATTTAACATATATATATATATAATATTTTTATAACTAGGTCGGATCCTGATCGGAACCACCTGCACTCGAATCTGATCTGAAGTACTATTCGGATCCAAATTTTGGATCCAAACCCGACCCATCTAATCCAAATCATGAACCCATAGCCGCATCTAAATAAGATCTAAAATTCGAATATCAAATCCAAACTAGGTAAATTCTGAGCCCTATATGGTTGGTGGCTGGTCCTTTACATAGGGTGGAGTGGGCACACAAAGGGCTCCACCCCTTATTAAGGAGATGGAATAACTTCTCATTTAAGTGTAGTCGGTAATAAAACATAATCTGCGTGGGGAATTGGCCATTAAAAGATTAAAATTTTGAAAATAAATAAACAATAAATAATATTAAAAATTGTTGTGTACCCAGATGAACCGCCCAATTCAATTAGCGCACCCTCTGTTATTTCTATAACCGCCTCCATTCTCAATATATTTAGGGCACCAGTCAACCTCACAAATTCTGAGTCCGATCGGGCGATTCCGGGGGTATCTTTTTAAAACACGAATTTTACCAACAAGGCAATTGCTTTTTAAAATATATTTGCTTCGGCACATACCTAAGAACTTTGTTAAAGAATACCTCAAGGTCCTCAACTGCCTAAACCACGACAAGTTGGGTATTTTGGTAATGCAACCGTACTTAAGCTACTTCGCTCCAAAATCAAATTGATAAATTTTTACATAAAAAACATGTTATGAGTTTGAAAAACAAGGATACTTTAATTATTTAGCTTAAGTAAAATAAATGGCAAAGTTTCAAGCTTTCAAACTGGTAAAGAGGGCAGTTTGGGTATTTTTTTAACCATTTTATTGATATTTTTACTAAAATATAAATCAAGCAATGAGAATGGTTGGATAGGGCTGCAGACTTATCAAATTAAGTAAATCCTCATGTCATAACTCATTCAAAATTGTAATTAAGTATTGGAAAGCCTTTACATCGATCATCTCGACTTGAACATTATGGTTGTTAAAAAAAATAGATTTCAAGTTCTAAAAATAGTATATATATTATAACAAATTATCTACACCATCCATTTTGTCTTAAAAAATAAGTGTAACATATCCGTAAGATCTGTACTATTTTGAAATTATATTTTTTTAATTTCAAATTTTATTGTCAATATTGAAAATTGACTGTTACCAAAAGTATTTACGGACGAGGATTTGAGGTGAGGCTTTATTTTGTTTTTATAAAGCCTAGACCTTATTGAAACCTCATCCATTAAGTAATACTTCCATAGTTTACGAAAAAACATACTCCTTATCTACTACAAAGTACTCAATCGATATTATACAATACTAAATCTCACACTTCTATGTAGTCGCATTTCTCCCATAGTTTGACTTTAGAACATTTTTAACGCATCCCAAAACAGTTTTAGGTTACCTTTTTTTAAAGTGTATTAATATGCTCAATATTTTATATAGAACGAAGGCTCTAAACAATAAAATTAAAGCCCACCTCAAAAAGTTCACTAGAAGAGGTTGTTTTGATGCTCAAATATTATCAAATTGATTATCTCGACATCAAGATGTGTGGAGATGAGAAAAAAATGGATTTCAAGTTTTGAAATAGTGCATCTTGTAATGCATTTTAGAACCGTTAATTTTCAAGATTTTCAAGTTTTCATACATATGCTTGATCTACACTATTTTTGAAGTTTTAAATTTTATAATTAACGATAAAAATATATTTTAAGGCTATCACAAAGATTTCTAGTATTGAAACTTGTTTACGCTTCGATCTGCACAGATCTTTGAGACAATATCTGCTCAAATCTTAACAAAAAAAAAATGAGTTGAAATTTGAAAAGGTAGAGAGAGTGGGGTCGCTTGAATTATGAGCTAAGAAAAAAACCAGATCTGAATCCGTATTTTGACCTAAAAAACGTTTGTAAATTCAATCAAATTTAATAATAATTTAATTTTCAAAAAAAATAAAATAAAATAAAACAGAGAATTAAATGAAGAAAAACAAACTAAATTCAGCAAAGAAAGTGATATTTACCTCTAAGGACCTGAAACTTGGAGTTTCGGACTTGGATCAGGATGCTCTTCCTATTTACGCCACCATCTCGGTGTTTTGGATGTCGTTGCTTGTTAGAATT